ACACGTGCGAATGAAATATTGAAGCCATAAACCGATTTTTAAACCCCAAACGAAAAATGAGAAATCGAGCCAAAATCTCATTTTCCGTTTGTTAAACTAAACGGAAAAGCGAATAAACGAGCCGTTTTTCCATTTCTCGTTATTGCATTCCAAATAGGAGATGAAATTATCAAAACGTACACGGACCTCCAAGCTTCCACAGCCAACCAATCTGAGTAAGGAAACATCATCAGTTTCTAGGAAGATTGACATTTGTCAGTTGGAAATTTACAAAAGCAATATTTTTAACAATATAAAATATTGTCCTTTACAAAACATATATATGAAAAAATAGTAAAAAAAAATGCTGCATTGATATCAGGTTGCAAATTAGAAGAGGTATATTATTTGGTATATTATTTTCTGTGCAAATCCTTGAAAAATCATAAGATTTAAAAAGGTAGGGCTTCCAGTAATGGCGTCAGAGTGACGCCATTTTTTTACCTCTCCCATTTTACGTTCCTGTTGTTTTATCTACCTTTACCCACCATCATTCTCAAAGTCATTATTTAGTTGTTTTACTACTAATTTATCAATCCCAAGCCATCAAAATAGAATAAGCCGGATCATTCCCAAGTTTTTATGGAAGATTGTACTGATTCAAGTGAGGCTAGTGCTAGCCTAGCTAGAGTTCTAACTAGAGTTCATTACCTGACGTTTCAAATGTTGCTCTGCTTAAACACATTGCTGAAGTCGTTACAAAAGTAGGTCGGTGCACGCAAAAGATGCTGAATGATTCTTTTGCTAAACTGAAGTCTGGGTTGGTCGTGAAAGTTGACAGTAGCATCAAATGCATCGATGAGGTCGCGGCCACCACCGACTCCTCACGAATCGCCAGGCCAAAACAGAGACTTGTATCTCCGCCATGGACTATGACATCGCTCCGTTGAAAGGGAAACTGGCTGCACTCAAGAAACTGAACACAAAACACACGGAAATGATTACAGGTCTGAATGGGACATTCCAGATGGGACAATATAAGAATTCTAAACCTCAAGGAGTCCATCGAGGGAAGTGATCACTTAAATTTTTTTTAACTTTCATACCAAAATTACTTGAGTTGCTAGTTCCGTCTATCGCAATTAACTGCACACACAGAGGGCTTGATACACCTAAAGATGGCCGTCCTCGCCCTGTTATTATCAAGATTCATCGCTACAGAGACGTCACTACAATTTTGTCTGCAGCTATAGAGGCAAAGGCCAACTCCAATACGAGGATCAGCTTCTCCGCATCGCCCCTGATATCTCTCCTCCAGTTCGTGCCTCTCAGAGAGCCTTCAACCCAATCTTCGCTGAACTTATTAAGAGAGGCATCCGTTGTCAAATGAACTTCCCAGCCGTGTTGGTCTTCAAGGTGAATGGCATTCGGAAAACTTTCAGAGATCTGAAAGATGCCAAAGCTTATATGGACGGTAGTATGTGAACTCTTTTATCTTCCGTTTTTTTTGAGTGTTTGGTGTCCTTCTAATGATATCTCATCTGATGGGTGTTTGGTAAAAGAAATGGGAGAGTATTCTCATGTATAAACCTTTATTTGCCGTGAAGCTTTTGATTTTTGATTTAAGCTAGGATATTGAGCAGGTGCAATTTTTTTTCTCTGTGTTTTTGAATGCTTAACAGATCCTAGCTTCTCATTTTTGCTCTACGTGAGTTATAGACATGGGTGCACCCAATCTTCTCCTTGTTCTGTTTTTGTTTTTATATTATTTGAATACTAGTTTA